AGGCCCGGAAGGTCAACGCTGGATGCTATCCAGTGCTTCCGGGACCTGGCCCGGGCGGTCGTGGAGGAGGGCGGGGTGTTGTTGGCAGTGTCGTTAGATATAACGAACGCCTTCAACACCCTGCCCTGGCCGGAGATTGGACGGGCCCTCGAACACCACGGGGTGCCCGTCTATCTCCGGCGAATCCTATCGGCCTACTTCGGGGGCAGGGACCTCGCCTTCCCAGTGGAGGGCGGGGTTCAAGGCCGGCGCGCTATGGAGCGCGGTGTTCCGCAGGGGTCGATTCTCGGCCCCCTGCTATAGAACATCGCGTTCGACCGGGTGCTGCGCACTCCGCTTCCCCTCGGTTGCCACGTCGTCTGCTACGCAGACGACACGTTAGTGGTAGCCGGGGGGGAGAACTGGGGGGAAGCCCGCCTCCGCGCGGAGTGGTGAGTACCATCAGAGACCTGGGTCTCAAGGTGGCGCCCCAAAAGACCCAGGCCGTGTTCTTTCACGGCCGGGGTCGGAGGGTGCCGCCAGGAACCCGGGTACTCGTAGAAGGAGTCCACGTCCGCGTCGGGCCGACGATGAGATATCTCGGCCTGATGCTGGACAGCCGGTGGAGCTTCGGACCCCACTTTGGGGAACTGGCCCCCAGGGTGCACAAGGCAGGACTGGCGGTGGCCAGCCTGACGCGCACCCAAGGGGGCCCAGGATGGAGAGCTCGCCGCCTGTACGTCGCGGCGGTGCTCTCGATCGCCCTGTACGGGGCGCCCATCTGGGCGCCCATCTGGGCGCCACAGCTGGGGGCCTGCCGCAGAGGCAAGTGCGCACTGCGGCAGGCCCTGAGGCCCGTGCTCATCAGGGCGATTCGGGGGTACCGGACCGTGTCGTACATGGCGGCGACCACCCTGGCCGGCGTCCCTCCTGTGGAGCTCCTAGCCGAGGAGTGGCATCTCCTTTACTGGAGGGTAAAGAAGCTTCACAGGGAGGGAAGAATGTCGGCCAGGGCCCTAAGGGGTCTGAAGCTCCAAGCCGAGACCCGGACCCGGGAGAGGTGGGAGGACTTATTGTCCGACCCCCGGGGTCCCGGGCCAGCGACGGCAGCGGCTGTCCGCTCCTGCCTGTCCGAATTGACAGGCAGGAGGGGACGAGGACTATCCTTTCGTCTGGCGCAGGTGCTGACCGGGCACGGGTGCTTCGGTCGGTACCTGTGTCGGATAAGGAAGGAGCTCACCACTCGATGCCACCACTGCCCCGCGGCGGAGGACACGGCGCACCACACCCTGGTCGCGTGCCCAGCATGGGCCGGGGAGCGCCGTGTCCTCTGCGGGGCGGTGGGATGCCGAGAAGGGGAGCTCTCGCTCCCGCACATGGTCAAAGCCATGTGCGGGAGCGAGGAGGCGTGGACAGCGGCGGTCTCCTTCTGTGAGACAGTAATGTCCCAGAAGGAGACCGCCGAGTGGGGGCGAAGACAGTACCGGGGCTGCGGGGAGCAGCTCCCGGGCGGACAACGCCCCCAGGGGGACGAGGGACGCGACAGCGGGCCCGGGGCAGCGCCGGCCGAGGGGAGCTCACAGACCCGCGAGGGTAGGGAGTCCCCTCGGCCGCCACGGGCCCGCCGCCGGTCGCAAGGGGGGGAGTAGGGGGACGGCGAGACGCCTTCCCTACCTTCCCCCCCGAGCGACCGGACAAGTAGGGACAGGGGGGAGCGGTGCCCCGGTTGGGGCCGGGCCCGCTCCCCTACAAATCCTTCCCTCCCTGACTAGCAGGGAGGGGGGGTAAGGAGGGAGGGCGGATGTCCTCTCCCTCCTTGACAGGAGACACCAGAAGGCCAACCGGCGGGGGGTAAACCTCGTCGGGGACCGCGCCCTGGATTCCCTTCGTGGAACAGGGCGCGGTACACAGATGGCGAGGGGCTCCCGGAAGGGAGCCCTGGGGCCGGGGGGTTGGGGAGGGAATACGGGAGTAGTTCCCCCGACTCCCCTCCTCACGGTCTGACAGGTAGACATCCCGCAGGGGTTTTAGTCGGTAAGAGTCCGACATAACCCCCTTCCCCCCCAAGGGGAGGGGGTATCCATGATGGATTTCCCCTGCGTGACCAAAAAAAAAAAAAAAGCCATCAATAGTGAACGCTCTCAGTGAATTTGTAAACATGGAAAAATTGGTCATCGTTATGTGATACAATACTTTCATTTGAAAGGCCTCAGTCCAACCAATATCAAAGCGGAACTAGATTCTACTCTGGGGGAGTCTGCTCCTTCGTTTACAACAGTAAAATATTGGGTGGCAGAGTTTAAACGAGGCTGTACGAGCTGCCAAGATGAACATCGCAGTGGTTGACCAAATGAGGTGACCACGCCAGAAATGGTGAAGAAAATCCACAAAATAGTATTGGATGACCGTCGACTGAAAGTGCGTGAGTTAGCAGACATGGTAGGCATTTCAAAAAGTGCTGTACATTGCATATTGACTAAAAATTTGGACATGAGAAAGCTGTGCGCAAGATGGGTGTGGCGATTACTCACAATGGAACAAAAACAGCGTCGTGAGGATGTTTCAACCGAGTGTTTGGCGAAGTTTCACAGCAATAAAGCCGAGTTTTTGCGTCGATTCATAACCATGGATGAAACATGGATCCATCACTTCACACCTGAGACGAAGGAACAGTCAAAACAATGGACTGAAAGGGGAGAATCGGCTCCAAAGAAGGCGGAGACAGTTCCATCTGCAGGCAAGGTCATGGCGTCAGTTTTTTGGGATAGGCGCGTGGGATAATTTTTATTGATTATCTTCAGAAAGGAAAAACAATCAACGGCGAGTATTATGCGAACTTATTGCAGCGTTTGAGTGATGAAATTAAGAAAAAACCGCCGCATTTGGCGAAAAAGAAAGTTTGGTTTCATCAAGACAATGCACCAGTTCACATATCCGTTATCGCGATGGCCAAAATCAATGAGTTAAAGTTCGAATTGCTTCCTCACGCACCCTATTCGCCAGATTTAGCCCCCTCGGATTATTTTCTGTTTCCAAACTTGAAAAAATAGCTCGGTGGTAAAAGATTTGCCAACAATGAAGAGGTGGAGTCTGCGGTTGGCTATTTTGAGGAGCTCGACGATTCCCACTATAAACAGGGTATCGAAGCTATTGAACATCGCTGGGCAAAGTGTATTGAGCTAAAATGAGACTATGTAGAGAAATAAAGATATTTTTTCCCAAATTTTTTGTATTTTCTTTGTTCAAGTACTTCTGGGACTACCCTCGTATTTGTACTTGGTATTGCTTCCTCTGTTTTTTGTGGCAACGCTGTAGCTATCTATTTTCAACGGTCGTTTTGTTTGTTTTATTTTCAAAGATTGTGATCACAAAATATGAAATTATCTATTTTTATTTTATCCTTATAATTCATATCTATATAATAAAAAAGTTGCGCAATGCCGTTTTGCACTGCACGACACCGACGAGTGTCGGAACCACAGTAACAGAATAGAGATCCTAAATACCCTATTGTAGTTGATCGCGGTGTGAATTTTCTAATAAATAATCGGCGGCAGCGGCACATGGGGTGTCATAGAAACCGAAAAAAAACCGAAAACCAAACATATTTTTATCGGTCCGATATCGGTTTCGATTTATTTGATACTATAAAATTTCAGTACGGTTATGGTTACGGTTTGAGCATAAAAATCTGTTTCGAAACAGTTATCGGTTCCGGTACCGATCCGGTCCGGATTTCTGATAAAGAGAGAACACTTTCAACTATTAAATCGAAAATAATTCTATTAAATCGAAAATCTAAACTGTCTTCAGCTAATTTAGCTAATACACGAGTTTGCAATAGCTTCAAAGTTTATGCAAAGGCTTCCCGGACCATTTTATTATTGAATGATAAATCCTCGGATTTGAACATGTTCCACGGGGTTTAGAAGAAGATTAACGACGGCATCGTGCTCAGCGGATCAAAATCCTATAAAAATGATATGTTTTGTTCGTTTCCCACGATGGGCCAAAATCGGCACTTTTTACCCATTGTTCTTTATGGATTGTTTCGAAGACCTCCTGAGTTCGATGTGGTGTCCCATTCTGCATGAAACTAAACCTTCTGACCAGACCTCTTTTCTTACCAGAAAATGTTTTAAAATCCTGTGTACAATTGTTTTTAATATTTGAAGGGCTTGGGCAGCTTTCCGAATGGAAGCATTTGGATTTTGTTCAAAATAATTCTTAATTTCTTCAATATTTTTTTCTACAGTTATAAATATAGAAGGACCTGGCAGATCGCATCTACGGTCTTCTTCGCATCTACATATTGCATAAAATTATCGATAATTCGATAATTCTGTTAAAAACAGCATAAAAAATATTTTAATGGAGTGACTAAGTTTAAGTAATTAATAAATTATAACTTTTTCAGTGTGCCGTATTTCCTACGAAATCCCCAATAAGCACTACTCTATACTTTCCTCTAGAAAAAAAGCAATTGATAAAATAAACTTATAAAATATTCGATAAAATAGACTCGATAAAATAGACCTTTCTTTCCATCGTCAGATTACTCATTTTGACGCACACAAACTTACTTCTATCACAACCAGAACAAAATTGCGAATCCTCAAGCGGACGACCACTAACCTTAAAACCCGTATCAGACTATGGATTGGGATTGAGTATTGGATTGGAATTTAACTAATCAAAGCTAAGTTTACTATATTTGAGATTATTCTTTTTTCCAATTGGTCAAATTTCAATCCAATCTCAATCCCAATCCATAGTCTGATACGGGCTTAAGACTCGTTCTACTAAAAGTCATGGAGGGGAGAACTAATCGTTTAGTTTCAGCAACTTCCAGTGGGACACCCTGTATATAATTGATAAAGCTCTTCGCAAGGCAACCGGAACTCTAATCATTTGTTTTGAAATTTGGGATATGTGGAGCTAACTTCATGCAGGCATAATAAAACATCACACCTTAGCATCGATACGCGGTCGTGAAACCACGAAGGAAAAAACACATTCTGTAAGAGATGTTCTTCGCTCCTTTTATTCAAAAATAGCTCGATCTGAAAAATACATTTGTATGTATTCCGTAAATTCACAATTCATGTCGCCCCTTTTTCTTATTGGCAACGATTATAACAATGTAATCAAATCTGCTGAGTGATACAACTTCCAGTTGACACACATTCGTCTCATCGCCTGTTATCCTTCCTTTCCTTTCTTTTTCTTTTTGTGTAAGGTACTGTACTATCAACGCATCACCTTGCACACGTCTTTTCTTCGGCTAGTCTTAGTGAGGAATCGCGAAAGTCGCCGTCTCGTCTCGAAGAAAACATTTTCGTCGTGTCATGGTAAAACTATCATCTGGTTCGAACAGGGCGACTAACAGTGGATTAAAAAGGGAACGACCCTTAAAATACTGCTGTTTCACACGCGAATGTGAAGTCTTTGGTTGTGTCACACGATACGCGATTGTCGTACGTGTCGTATTTACTATTCTCTAATCTCTTACATCTAACGCAAATGTCCGCTGGACGCACGCACACACTAGATCAGCGTGCGCAAGAGAATGTCAGGAATACTCCCTCTGAACGATTCTCGGGGATACAAGATGCAAAACGGTCCTTCATCAATTTCTCACTAATGCTTATCCATACAAATGAAATCGGATCATCAAGCGAGTGGATAACGTAAAAATATCAAGTGCAAACCATTGCTGTTCCTCGATATGCGACACTCTAAACCTAAGTGTTATTTTGGCTGAAGTTTCTTCGAATTAATTTAACTCTAATCTTGCTGGCTATCTTAATCAATTATGGATTCAAAAAGCTAATAAAATCTTACAATTTTTTATGTATAATTGACCTGAAAGCTCTGATCATTGACTTTTTTTCTCTTGAACATTTCTTGCCGTTTTAAACATATCGAATGATGCAAAAGCTTCAGCCAGATCACACACTTATGCATATAAACATAACTACCACCGACGCACTTAGATTTGCAGTGAACCGTTGTCGACCTGATGATCATCGATCCAAATCGGAAACAATCGCACGTGTCGTTTCATCGCGCGAGTAAATCTCTACAAGCTATCATAATTTTCAAGTTTTCTTAGAGCTTTATACTCGAAGTCGACGTTAACGAGACGAATTTCAAGGAAAATATATGCGAAAGAAGATGATAAATAATCTTTCTCTCACGAATAATTGATTAAAGAATCTCACAGATCAACGTGGACCATTATGTGTAAGTTATTACTTTATGCGTAACTTTAAAAATTACTCTATTTTGTTCAATGAAAAGATCGATTACTAATATCAATTGGATCAATGTGTTATTCACTTGTTATATTCTTTAGTATCGACCAGCGAGATGATGTCTATCTTGAAAATTCAGTAAAAATCAGCCTTCAAAAGTGATTAAAATACATTCAAACGCTTAAAATATACAATTACAAAATAATGTAGAAGATAGTAAATTATTCGTCATGGGTAGGATGAAGGATCAAAAACGATAGATCTGAATGGCTGAAAGGTGATTTGTGATCGACAAACTAGCACAAATCATTCTAAGAAATGTATATCGCTTACATGCACTGACATGGTGCTTTCTTACACGTAAGAACACTAATTTCAGATTTGAAGTAAATATCCTGCACAACGACATGCATTTCGGAATGCGATTCTCGATCTCCACATTGTGTCAACTTAGATTTAAAAAACCGCTAAATATATTATTTGAGGTATCTGTGTTATTAGGAATATTTTCTTCCCGGAGATTCGGCCAAAATGGTTAACTTCTGCTATTCGACACAACGGGTCGATCGGACATCGAGATTCGTCGAAATGGGTATCTCCTCATTACGTAAAATGTCTATATCTATGTACATAATTTATTTTACAAATATCAGTAGTAAAATTAACTGGCAGCACACAGCGTGTACGTTGACAGTAAAATGTCAAACTCGCGAGTATCGTGCTGTTATCGCATTCTTTCGAAATTTATCGACTTAGTATTGGATTATCACCTTACATTCGTTTTACGTGTTATCGGTTTCTAACTGATACCACAGAGAAAAACAAAAATTGTTGAACACGATAAAACACGAGAAACTCCTGAATTTTCGCACCATAAATTGTTTTATTTATTTTTTTCTTTTTTTCTTTTTTTATCGCTCATTCTGTGAGTGGACACGCATTGTGTTATGAAAAATCAAAATTATAAAATTCAGAAGGTGTGGTAAAATCATCTCAAAACATCATGAAATTTATAGACGAGAATTGTCCCGCTTCTCTGATTTCGAGATTCAGATTTTTCAAAAAAATGCATGTCCTTTTAGCGACACATTATTTTCTAATAGCAGATTGACTTCTCCCAACGCACGTTTTAGCATTATAGAGCAAATAAGGATGAAGTTTAATTATTTACGCAACTTCTCAGCCTACTTATTTTACTTATCATATTTTTACGCTTTATACGGAGAAAATTTTCCTGGGAAATCTTAACATTCATAAATTGAAAAATCATACTGTATTGGATAAGATATATTCGTATCGTAAATATGTGAAGATATTTATGTGAACATATAAATACATACGAGTACACACAAAATTTCAAATAGATCTGTCAAATATTAGGTGCTTGAATTAATTCTGCCTGTTTTTATTACAATAAATTTGTTTTTTTTACAATAAACACTCATGTTTATTTCAAAAGAACGTTACATTATATTCTATTCAAAATATTGTCCTTCGGAAGCTCCAATCTTTTCGGGTGACACATGGATTCCGCGATAGAAAAATTCAAGCTCTTTTGAGGCGATCCAGCAGTCATCGAGCCATTTTTTGATATCTTCGAAAGATCTGAAGTGCTGTTCAGAAAGGCTATGCTGCATCAACCGAAACAAATGGTAATCTGAAGGGGCAACGTCTGGTGAATGAGGGGGGTGGGATAGAACTTACCATCCAAGTGTTTCCAAGATTTCCTTCACTAGTTTTGCAACATGTGGTCTCATTGTCATGGAGAAGAATAATTTTGTTATGTCTTTTGGCGTATTGCGGACGTTTTTCTTTGAATGCTCGATTCAAATTGAGTAATTGCCATCGGTAGCGTTCAGCATTAATGGTTTGACTCGGTTGCAGCAGCTCATAATACACTACACCGACTTAATCCTACCAAATGTACAGCATGATCTTTTTTCCATGAATATCCTGTCGTGGTGTTGATGGTTCACCGGGACGCACCCATGATTTCTTGCGCTTAGGATTGTCGTAACGAATCCATTTTTCATCGCTAGTCACAATTCGACATAAAAACGGCTTTCATTTTTGTCTTTGAAGCAACAATTCACATATAGTTAAACGTTTCACGATGTCTTTTCCTCAATTCAATTTCCTAGCTTCTGGATCATTCCCATTGTTTTCAAACATTTGCTAACGGTTGACTTATCGACTTAATGTTTCCGACAACTCTTTAAGTGTCTTACATGAATCTTCTTCCAGTAATGCTTCTAATCCTCCATCTTCAAACTTTTTCGGCTGACCAGGGCGCTCTTTGTCATTCACGTCAAAATCGTTATCTTTGAATCGTCTAAACCAGAGCTCGGCAAAATGTGCACGCGACGGCCGATTTTCAACTATCTCCGCCCACCGCTATTCCCTTGACCTCATCGCTCCGTGCGCTGCCTACAAGCCGCTCGAGCCTCAAGAGCGTGTTTCCAATAGTTTTCCACGTCACCCATGAAGTACTATTGTTAACGCGTCTTTTTTTAAGTGGTGTCCCCAGTAAGCCTAATCCACTGATGACTGTAACAACCCGTAACTAATTGAACTGTAACTAATTGAACAGAAGCGAAATAAAATATGTTAAATGAAGAATATTCAATTCGATTTTCGACGTCTTTTATTGGTAAGAGTGGAAACGTCAATTTGGATATTGCATATAGCGAACCGTATAAGACGTGATAAGGAATCGTCGCTTAAAGAAGAACACTTCTCATTTTTTATAAACTTCATTTTTGAAAAATGAAGAGGCCTACTGGGAATACCACTTAAAAAAAACGCGTCAACAATAGTACCTCATGGGTAACGTGAAAACTATTGGAAACACGCTCCTGAGGCTCGAGCGGCTTGTACGCAGCGCGCGGAGCGGCGAGGTAAAGGGAATAGCGGTGGGCGGAGATAGTCGAAAATCGGCCGTCGCGTGCACATTTTGCCAACCTCTAGTCTAAACCGATCTCTACAAGTTGTTTCAGATAGAGCTTGCTCCCCATAAACCTCCACTAGCAAACGATGATTTTCAGCAACAGATTTCTTGAGATGAATGTAGAAAAGTAATGCTTCCCGCAAATGCTCTTTTTTTGGTACGAAACCCGACATCTTCAATGCAGTACAAAATTGTGTTCTTTGCACTCCGATCTAATGTCACACAATAATTATTAAAGCCTATTAATAGTACTTTCATGTACACCAACGGTTACTTTCGACCATGTTGAAATAGCATAACTACTGACCTCTACCAGGTATGTCGGTAATTACTTTCCGGTTTTTGTAACAGATGTCACTAGCCATAAGTATGCAATGTTATGATTTGATACATATGTCATTTTATTCTACTGACATTAACCTCAAAACTACACAAGTTACGTTCCGCCAAAATAACAGCGTTATAGATTAATAATTTTTTGAAAATGTCGAATTTTGTGCCTGAAAACGTGCATTTGCGGCACGCATTATTTTTCTTGTTTAATCAAAAGAAAAAAGCCGCTGAAAGTCATCGTTTGCTGGTAGAGACTTACGGTGAGCATGCTCCAACCATAAGAACATGTGAAACGTGGTTTCGACAATTCAAATGTGGTGATTTCAACGTTCAAGACAAAAAACGTCCTGGTAGGCCGAAAACGTTTGAAGATGCGGAATTGCAGGAGTTATTGGATGAAGACCCAACACAAACTCAAAAACAATTGGCAGAAAAGTTGAATGTGAGCCGAGTAGCAATTTGTGAACGATTACAAGCGATGGGAAAGATCCAAAAGATGGGAAGATGGGTGCCACATGAATTGAATGATAGGCAATTGGAAAATCGAAAAATCGTCAGTGAAATGCTGCTTCAAAGGTATGAAAGGAAGTCATTTCTGCATCGAATAGTAACGGGTGATGAAAAATAGATTTATTTCGAAAATCCCAAGCGAAAAAAATCATGGTTATCACCTGGCGAAGGCGGCCCATCGACTGCAAGGCCAAATCGCTTTGGTCGCAAGACTATGCTCTGTGTCTGGTGGGACCAGGTTGGTGTCGTATATTATGAACTGTTGAAACCTGGAGAAACAGTTAATACTGATCACTACCAACAACAAATGATCAATTTGAACTGTGCATTGATCGAAAAACGTCCACAATACGTTCAAAGACATGATAAGGTGATTTTGCAGCATGACAACGCGCCGTCTTATACAGCAAAACCAGTCAAAGAAGTGTTGAAATCACTTGGATGGGAAGTTTTATCGCACCCACCGTACTCTCCAGACCTGGCTCCATCCGACTACCACCTTTTCGCATCGATGAGGCACGCGCTTGCAGAGCAGTACTTCGCCGATTTCGAAGAAGTTAAAAAATGGCTCGATGAATGGTTTAGCTCAAAGGAGAAACAGTTCTTTTGGAATGGCATCCATAAATTGCCTGAGAAATGAGCAAAATGTATAGAATCAAATGGCCAATACTTTAAATAAATATATTTTAACTATCCATTGTAAATAACGTGTTTTCTTTAGCGAAAAAACCGGAAAGGAATTACCGACACACCTGGTATTAGTCAACAGCGAGAATTAATTCAAGCACCTAATAAAAATTGCTTGACAATATTTGAAAACAAATAAGTTCGTGTTTCTTTGCAACGGAAAAAACTGAATTCCATGTGCTGATAAAGTACTACTTTTTGGGTAGAAAAACTATTAAGGAAACTGAAGAAAAGCTAAAAAAGTATTATGGGGACTCTGCTCTGTCGCATGGAATGGTTCACATATGATTCACTGAATTTCGTTGCAGCCATACGAATGATACTGAACACTTGAGGCATCCGAATGAGGCATTGAAGAAATGGTAATCCATGTAACACCTATTAAATAATAATATAATTAGGTGTTTCAGTTAATTTGTTTTTTTTTCTTTTGCTTGAAAAACACATTTATTTCAATTATAAAATAAATTGGTTAATCAATCGAAATATTTTCCATCATTTTGTATTACTTTCTCCTATCTTTCTAGTAAGAGATGAATTCCGCGGTAGAACGACTCAGGTTTTAAAACAATTCATTCATCCATGCACTTTTGGACTTCTTCGTAATTTCGAAAGCGTGTATTTTGAGGGTCATGCTGCATTGAACGAAACAAGTGGTAATCGGACAGGACCAGATCTGGAGATTAGGCATGTAGAAGAATCTCCCCTTCGAGCTCTGTCAGCGTTTTCTTGATGATTTTTGCAACATGTGGCTGGGCATTGTCGTGCAACAGAATCACTTTTCATTTGTTATATGCGATTTGTGATCGTTTTTTATCCAACGCTAGCTTCAAACTATAATTGCTGTCGATACCCGTTAGCCGTAACAGTTTTATTCGGTTTTAAAAGCTCATAATATACAACATTTTCTTGATCTCACATACAGAGCAATGTCTTATGACCATAAATATTGCATTTTGGCGCCGATGTGGCCTGGGTCTATCCATAACTTTTAATTTAGAATTATCATAATGGATCCACTTTTCATCATCAGTGACAGTCTGGTCAAAGAAAAAATTCTCTTTTTCTGCCTGGCAACCAGAGCAGTGGCGATACACGGTTCAGCATGGTTGTTTCAGTTCATAATCAGTTCATGTGGCACTCATTTTCCTTCCTTTTCAATTTTTCCTATTGCATGTAAACGGTCAGAAACTGTCGAAACTGCAACATTTAATACCTCAGACAATTTTTGAGTGTTTGAGATTGCTTTTGGTCAAAATAATGCTTGCACTTCAGTGTCTTCAAACTTTTTTGGATGACCTGGATGTTCTTTGTTTTTCACATCAAAATCACCACTTTTGAATCGTCGAAATCAATATCTACATGTTGTTTCTGATGGAACAGAGTCACCGTAAGTTTCCACCAATATTCGATGTGCTTCAGCTAGTTTTTTTTTCTATCAAAGTAGTAGAGGCGAATATATCGAAAAAAACAACTTATTGCGTTCCATTTTTAATTAATATAAAAACAATATCACTGCTTGTAAAAGTAACCTTGGTGGATTGAGTTCTATTGAAAAACGTCTAACCTGTAATATATTAGGAGATTGCATTGAAAGCCGCTATTCACGTGTAAATAGCTCTAGCTGCGTATGCTGTGGGCAGTGACAGATGTCTCTTATGTCATTTTGAAGTGTGAACATTTCCCGTCAAAATTCAGTCATTAGACGCCATCTTTTGTTTACACAAGTGCTTTTCTGTAACTGAATTAAAATGGAACACGACAAATTGTTTTTCCGATGTGTACTTTTACACTATTTTGATTTGAAAAAAAAGTTGAAAAAGAAACAGCTGAAGTTAATCGATTGCTTGCGAAAACTTGTGGTGAATCTGCTCCACCGGAAACAATATGTAAATATTGGTTTCGACGATTCAAAAGTAATGGTTGTGACATTCGTGGTAATGTTCGACATGAGTGGAAAGAAGTCATAGCTTCCAAAGACGAATACTTTGATTGATGTATTCATACATTTTGTTATTGAAATAAATGTTCAAAAGAAACAAAACAAACAGTGGCTTTCAATGCAATTTCCTAATAGCATGAGTTTCAGCTGTCACAGTTCACTACATTTGTAGCTCGAGTCATCTAAAGGCGAACAGCTGAAATTAACCGAAACACCTAATACTTGAAATCTTATATACAGGGTGTCCCATTTTAATCCGGCCGGCTGAATAAAATTCGAGGATATTTTCCAGAAAAAAATGTTAGACAAATGTTGCTCAGTTCTAAGGGGGACATTCGATGCCATCAACAATTTTGACCTCGGGTGAAGGGTTTAAGGTCATTCAAGGTCAACTTTTTTTTCTTAAATGGGAATTTTCGCATGCCGAGGGTACTGGACATGATGAGATAAAAGATTTTTTCCAAACATTGGCAGAAAAAAGTGCACGATCAACTATGCGAAAATTCGAGTGAATTCCTTGCAGCATTCCAAGAACTTTTTGTCTTCTGCAATTTCCCCCCAAACCCCACCATTCTCGAGTAAAAAATTCATAAAGTTTGAAAATTTCAATTTTGGAGGCTGAATAAGTGAAATTAGTTTGCGTTATAAAAAAAATACTTCAGACAAAAGTTTCATCTTTTTTTACGTAGAATCGATTGCCGATGTGAAAAATAGGGGTTCCCATTTAAGAAAAAAGAGTTGACCTTGAATGACCTTGAACCCTTCACCCGAGGTCAAATTGTTGATGGCATCGATTGTCCCCCTTAGAACTGAGCAACATTTGTCTGACATTTCTTTCTGGAAAATATCATCCTCGAATTTTATTCAGCCGGCCGGATTAAAATGGGACACCCTGTATATATACATATTGGATGAAGTAAAAAGTTCTGAGCGTTTTTTCTCTTTATTTCGACGATGAAATTAACAAAGT